TAGTGGTTTTAGAGGCGGGGGGGGGCGGGCGGGCCCCTATCCTGGGCCCCCCCCCAGGTGGGGCGGGGGCTGCGGGGCCCGGCGCGGCCGCACGGGGAGGACGTGGGGACGGGAGGGGGAATGGCTCCAGAATAAAGTTTATTTATTCTATGCTCGGCTCGTTCTTGCTGTGGGGCACCGGGGGGGGGGCTAAAGGGGTACATGCTGAGCCCCACTGCGGGGTCCCGTTGCCCCCATGCATCCAACAAAGCAGGGATGGGCAGAGTGCAGTGGGGTGCGGTGCCTGCAGAGCCCCTGCGCCCTCGTGACACGTGTGGTCAGCACTGCTTTGTTTTCCTCCCTCTCCCAGTTTTCTTTCCAGCAGCTGCAGGGTGAGGCCCATCCGCTGCCCCACAACAGGAACCGGGTGGGGAGGGAGGGGGGCAGCAGGGCACGGCTGCTTCCTGACACCAATGCAGACCTGTGACCCCCCCCAGGCTGAGCGCAGCCACAACTCATCGCAGCGACGGCACACGCGTTTCACGCATCCAGGGCAGCTCGCACTGGGGGGCGCAGCTGCTGAGCCGCCCCCCCGGAGGTGGGGATCTTCTCGGGGGCCGTTCGGCTCTTGCGCAGGAGGTGGCCGAGCTCCGCCAGGCTGAGCAGCGCCGACGCCAACCCGACGGCGAAGTAGAAGCGGATGAAGCCGGTCCGCTCGGTGGGGCGGGACACGAAGCAGTGGACGCGGTGCGGGCCCGGCCGGCGGCGGCAGACGAAGAGCGGCGGCACTCGGGAGCCGTAGAGCAGCGGCTGCCCCAGCAGGAACGACAACCTCGGCCGCGCTGCGGAGCGCGACGCTGCCCGCGTAGAAGCGCCGCCCCGCTGGGAGCCCCGCTTTGGCCGTTTGGTGCACGGCGAAGATGAGGAAGAGCGCCGAGAGAGCGAGCACGAGGAAAAGCAGGAAGCGGTAATGCGAGAGCGGAAAGGCGGCGTCGTAACACATCGGTTTGCAGCCCGGCTGCCGCGTGTTGCACGCGAGCTCATCCTGCTCGTCCTCGAAGACGTCGCTGCCCACCGTGGCGAGCACCAGCACGCGGAAGAGCAGCGTCACCAGCAGCCAGCAGCGGCCCCCCATGGGCGAGTGCTCCTGCACCTCGTCCAGCAGCGAGCTCAAGAAGCCCCACTCGCCCATCGCTGCGGGAGGGGGCGGCGCTGGGGACGCTGTGCCCGGGGGTCCCGAAGGCACCGAACGTCCCCGCGCTCCGAGGAGCCGAAAGCCGCCCCTGCAAAAATTCACCCCGACGAACGGCCCCGAGAGGTCCGGCTCCGGCACGGCAGCGACGGCTGAGCGGTCCCGCCGGTCCCGCCCCCCCCAATCCCGGTACCTGCGGAGGGAGCTCCGGTCCGACGCCGTCCGCTCTCCGCCCCGGGATGGCGGCCCCGCTGCCGCCCGGAGCCCTTTTAGAGGCAGCGGCCGAGGGGTGCCGGGGGGGGCGGGCGGAGCGCATCGCGGGTGGGGCGGAGAGGCAGCCTTACAGCCCCGGACGGGGCGGGGAACCGAGCGAGGCCAGGGGGTCCCCGCGCTGCACGGCGGCGCTCCGTGGGCGCAGCGCTCGGCGGACGTCGGGATGAGCGGAGCGGCCCCGCACCGTGTGCCGTGCCCCAAACCCGCACCGCGGGAGCCGCAACAGCGCTGCCGTCGGCGGCTGTGAGCCGCTCTCCAGAGCCCGGCGGTGGAAAACGCTGCGTTCCAGCGCGGCACCTCGGCGGCACCGACAGCGCCGGGATGCGGGGCAGGACGGGGTGCTTCCGCAGCGCCCGCGTGCGGCATCGGGCAGCGCGGCCGGCGGTGCCACATGTGTGCGCTGCGCCCATCGCCTTCGGGATCCCCGCCGTCCGTCCGGGAACCGCGGCACACGGCGCTGAGGGCGGGCGGCTCCTCCCCGCCGCCCGTTTTTCGCTCGAAGGCCTCAGCACGGCTGCGGGCGGAGGCTTTGCGACGCCCGGGTGAGGGGTTGGGGAAGAGCAGCTTCCCCCGGTGCGCTGCGGGACGGGGAGGTCCGGCTGCGGGGCTCCCAGCGGCGCCGGGCAGCGGCTGAGGCAGAAGCCCCGCGGGGAGCAGAGGCGATGCGCGGCGCTGCGGGAGGCTGCGCTGCTGCAGGCGAGGTGGAGGAGCCCCAGCGGAGCGGAGCCGGGCTGCGGGGCTGCCGCTGTATCTCCCGTCCCATCGTCGGGCACAGAGCCGCACGCAGCTCCACGTCCAACCCAGCGCCCAGCGCCCAGCGCGCAGAGCAGCTCAGCTGCAGCTCAATGAAGGAGCTGGGAATTGGGACGCATTTGCCGTAGAGTTGTGACACAGCTTTAGAATACTGCTGAGGAGGGAGGGAGAAGGCAGGGCTCTGGTGAAGGGTGAGGGGACAGAAGGGGAGAACTCCTTTTTGTTGAACAAAGCTCGAGTAGAAAAACTTTTATTATGTCAATATTTAAAAGGACAGTTTAGTGACAAGAACGACAGAAAAACACAAAATATTTACAGACAGTTAAGAAATATCACTCAGCCCCTCAGAGAAGCAAAGCACAAGTGGCCATACTCCAGTAAAGCACTGCTGAGGGGAAGAGGAAGGCAACCCTGCCCTGCTTTTGCTGAGGAACACAAAACAGGAGCTGTGCTGGGGTGCCACAGCTCCCAGCAGAGGGGAAGGAAGAGCTGCCCTCAGGTCCAGACTGGCACGAGAAGCTCCACGCTGCTGAGAGCTGCTCTGCACCGCTTTCCCTGCGCCGAGTGTGGACAGAAGCCCAGCATGGGGACCTGCTGCTTTGCAACCAGCGCGCTGCAATAACCAGCCTGCATCCCTTCAGGACGGCACAAAGAGCCTGAGGGAGGAACGCCTGCCTGCCCAGCAGTGCTGGGCTCCCTGCACAGCAGCCCTGAGCCCAGGCTGAGCTCTGGGCTTCTTGGCAGCTGGTCAGGAGATAAAAGTGCACCGCAGCACAGCGTGGAGACGAGCCTGCACAGACCTCCGTTACCAAAGCTGGATTGAAAAAGCCAAAGGCTAAAAGTCAGCATGGCAGAAACGGAGCTACTGGGGCACACGGCAAGTCTCTGGTTGTGGAGTTAAAAGCTAAAATATTTTATTATTTTAAAGGTATCTAAAAAGGGGAACATCTATATAACTTATAGGACTTAAGATACACAAATGTGTCTTGCTATTAAAATGACTGTAACGAGTCAGAAGATTTACCAGGGCCTCCAGCCGGCTGACGGGGAGAAGGGAAACACGTCAGCACTGGCTGGGAGAAAGGGCAGCAGGTGCTCCTGTTCATAAACAACTCTGAATTATCCTAAACCTAGAAAAATATTCTGTATTCACTTGCATCCAACACTTTTGAAGTTAAATTAACAAAGATTCCTACTCTGAGATGCGGGTTCCTTGGCTGCAGGAGCTCTGTCACGAGCTCTGCTCACTGCCAGTCCGTGGCCCAACGCTTTAAAAGGTGATAAAAACTCAGAACACGTCCTCCTCGTCAGAGGACTCCAGGTACTGGACGGGCTTCTTGAGGCGCCCAGGCCGACTGCGGGGCGCCGCTGCCACAGAGCCGCCTGCACTCAGATCTGCGCCGCGGTCATCGACGTCCTGCCTGGGTTTCTGGACAGAAGGAAGCGGAGCATTGAATCAGCTGAGCTCAGCGCAGGGCCCTTCTCACCCAGCTCCCCATCTGGGTCACGGGGATGAGATGAGCTCTGCTCCCAGCCCGCTCTCCCAGCAGAGCAGCACAACGCGCCCCGGTGCCCCCTCAGCACCAACCTTTCCTGCGACGGATCTGGAAGGCTTTGAGCCGAAATCCGAGTCCGAATCAGAAGAACTCGACAGCCTCTTGGCGGCCTTCCGCCCCCTGGGGGCACCGGGCTTCTTGGCTGCGGCTTTGGGAGGTGGGAGCTCCTCCCTCAGTGCTGCCCTTGGGGGCTTTGGTGCCGCCTTCTTCTTGGTGAGCATATCCACGATGGACGGCTGGTTATCTGAAACACAGCGCCGTGTTCGAGCCCTTATTCTGCTGCCTCTCATCTCCTGCTCTCACTCCCAGCACAGGTGCTGCCCGCCAGCTCGGCGCTCAGCTCCCCTCACCTGGAAGCACGGCTCTCCCCAAACTGAGCAGCAGTTTGTTGAGGCTGTGATCAACGAGGCTCCTCTGCCCGGAGCACCGAGTGCCCCGCGTTAAAACGCACCCAGAGCCACTCACAGAGCATTGCCAGAGGAGTTCTGAAGGCTCAAAGCCGTGTAACCAATTTTACAGCTTCAGTGCTTTTGCTCAGGCAAGGAACGTCTTTCCCACCTCACTCTGAGCAGCTGTTGAGGTTTCTCACCCGTATTTTGACGTTTTCTAACAGCACATCTCCAAACTAAGTTGAAATGAGCAAAGCGCTTCTGAATGGCAACGCCTGAACACAGATCTCTGAATTAAACTCCTCCAAACTCCTGACTGAAGCACTGCCTGTTTCCCACAGAAGTAACTGCTACCCCAGAATTACCTTCAGTGACTGCAGAGCTCAGAGCCCAGCTTTGCCTTACCCTTGGCAGCGCTGCCCTTCTTAGCTGCTGCAGGCTTCTTTGGCACGGCCTGAGTGCGAGGCACGGGGACAGGAGGAGCTGCAGGATCCTGACTCACGCTTCCAGGAGCGACATCTTGGGCTCGAACTGAACAGAGAAAGGAGGAAGCAGGTCTGAAGCAGCTAACTGATCTACGCTGGCTGTAAACACCAGAGCAGAAGGAAATGCTTTATGACAGCTATCAAAAAGCAGAATAATCGCAAAGAGAAGCTGGAAGCAGGCAGAATCCTGGGCGGCAACACCAGCTCGCACTCCAGCATCAGTTTCTTTGCGTGGTGCGACTCTGATATCTGCCCTTGCTGGCATTACACAGAGATCAGCAGCCAGCAAACTGCACTGGGGGAGGGAAATGAGAAAGGTTTGGAAGGAGCTGGACTCACCAGGGACAGCATCTGGCAGCGGCTTCTCCTTGGGAGCTTTAGCTTTTTTCTCTGTGGTTTCCCTACAACACAAAAGCCGTTATTCCTGTCACTATTACTACATCATGTTAGCAGTGAGCACAGCCCACCTCCAGTGCCTGGACGAAGAAATACTCACTTTGGGGCAGCTTTGGGCTTGGGAGGCTTCTTTTTCCAGTCTGTGTCTGAGTCACTGTCGCTTCCGCCGTCCCCCTGATACTCGGACTCCTCATCTGAGCTGTTAAGATCTGCATCCGAGTCTGAATTGACCATGGGTTTGATTTTGGCTGATGAAATAACACAGATATCATTTTACACACTTGGTATTAAGCAGCTCCACTTCCTTTCCAGTATTTGAGATGTAGTTATTAATTTAAAAAGACTCAAAACCAAGCAGACACTGAGGATGACAGTGAGGAGACTGCAGGCTGCTGGTGTTTTCTGGGCTCACTCGGCAAGAACACATTTGATTTGCTAAGGAAGCTGCCCGATATAAAACAATAATTTCTTCTCTGCTTTCCCTTGAAAGACCGCTGTGCAAATCTACTCCCAGGTCAGAAACATTGGATTGCTCCATAAAGGAAGGTAAATGAGCCTTTAGAGCTGCTTCCTGGGACCCCTCCGCACAGCCCTGCGCCGCTCACCTGCCGCCTGGCGCAGCACTCGCTCTCGTTTGGAAGGCGCCTCAAAGTCACCCGACTCCGAGTCAGAGCCTGAGTCCGACCAGGGGTTGCGCTTCATTTTCTTCACAGGTTTGAAGGGCAGAGTGCTCTGCTTCTGGGGGCCTGGAAAACACGGGGAAGGGCTGAGCCCCGACCTCCACGTGTCGTCGAGTCGCTGGAGCTCAGCTCAGAAATACAGCACTGCACTCAGAGGCTCCAACGGCCCAGAGGAGCAGTGACCGCGCCACCAGCGTGGCCAGGATCTCTTCACATCTCGGCTCCCTCGCCCGTTTTTCCAAACACACCAACCCTGGGTGCCACTCAGCCTTTGGGAAGAGGCAGATAAGCAGCCGCCCCCCCCTCGCTTCCCGGGGTGGAGTTGCACACGTTTACCTTGCTCGGCTTTGCGCTTCTGTGCTAATCGCTGCTTAAGGCTTGAGGGCTCTTTATCCCCAGATGAGTTTCCTTCTTGTTTCTCATCGGATTCATTTTTCTCACTCTGAAGATAAAAGCAGATACTGTCAA